GTGTTTTTTTTCTCTCTTTTTTTTTTTTTAAAGAAGATAGGACATGACCCCAGCCTTTGCTCTGCCTGTGAAACTTATAACATAAACAAGGTCCCCAGACTCCTCAGCATGTGATATGGCTTTGGCATGTGGTGTGGAGGGGGTGTGGTATTTCACATATCCCTTATGCTCCTAACTACTCCACACAACCTCATTATGAAAGGATGCATTTCTGTGTGAGGTGGACCACCTACCCACCAGATGGTGATGTGCTGAGTGCATCTGGAGCTGGAGCCCTGCCTTCTCATTTACATATTGGCACTGAGCCAGGGCAGGTTGCCCAAGCGGTAGCTGAGCAGGAGTGAGTGCCAAGCTCCACCTACTCATTTGAATAGTCACTGCTTCTGTCTGGGCAACACCATCCCATCCTCTATAGCGTATCCTCTGCCCATGCTCTGCGCGAGTTAACTTTACAAATCTTGTGATTTATCATTTTACCAGGAATTAAAAATTTAATTTTACCATGATTTCATAGAAAGCAATTCAAGTCTTTTGTTGCTGCCAAAGGATTTCCTTTGTATTTGTGGATCTAGTTTACACCATAGAGCTATAAAACACATGGCTGGGGCCATGTGCACACCAACTCACATGTGGCATATTGTCCCATGGAGCACGGAGGAAGGACACAGTTGTCCTTTCTCTGCTGGTGACTCAATTCTCAAAACTGAAGCCCACACTCTAGCATTGTGTCAGCAGAGTAATTTGATCACCACATGCCTACAGCTGATCAGAATGGTTTAAGGTGACCTTTGACCACAGTTGCCAGTGTTTGTAGACAAAGATAGCAGCATGATGTAATGTTAAAATCCCAGAGATACCATGAATTATAACCCTGCCTCAGTCTGTTTACTGGGGCAGATGTTTGTACTTGATTAATTGACTGAGTGATGTAACACTTGCCTGGTCTTGTACAAAAAGCTCAGTAGCATTCAATTAGACAGAGCTCTATAAAGTGTGCAGCTGGGGTAATAGGTTGGGCACACTGTGAAACCAGACCAGACATATCAAACCCAACCTTAAATCTGTTGATTAAACAGCCAGTGCTGGAATATTTGTTTTATTCAGATATTGAGCTGGTTTAGTAGAGTGGTAGCCAAAGTAAAACACATGCATGTATATTATAGTTTCTTAATACTTAATACCGTACATGTACTGTACATGTAACTGATTTTTATGAAAAATAGTTGATGGGTATATTTCCAAAACATGATTTTTATGTGCAATAAAAATGTGGAATGTTCCCACAATTCTGAAGTACTGAGGAATGAAAAAAAGTACACTGGATGTCCTTTAACGTAATTTTTTGTATGGTATTAATTAATTTTGGTGTGCTCTCTTGATCTTTTGTTAAACCCATCTAAACTGACAGAAGCATACAGGAGAGGGTAGGATTCTAAAAGATGCCGAGTTTGCACCTGTCATATTTTTAAAAAATTCTGGAATTATTTTTTTGTAGTCAAATATTAGTGATATCTTTTCTTGTTTTCACTTTAGTCCATGCTAATATTTCAGCAGAACATTCGTTTTGATCTTTAAAATTGGCACCTTTTTTTTTTCTCATTTGTTTCATATCTTTGCTTTCGTTTTCTCATGTTACTTTTCTTTTCAACCTTCCAAAAAAATGCTAAGCCTGGTAGTGACAACAGATGCTGGAAAACCACAAACAATGGAGACGGGGTCTGAGTGTTTGTGGTTTTGTTTTTTTTTAAACCACCACATATTTTCCTGCAGGATGCAGTGACTTGGTTCTGTTTTGGTTAGCTGGAGTTCTCTAAAGGTCATCCTAGGGTTTTTATCCAGTCTAATTCACCCCACTGTAAGGTTTCCATGACTTGAGGGAAACAGCCACAGATCTGTCCAATATTTTCAAACCGCAAACCTCAATTGGTACTTTTTTTTCTTGGGCATTGTGGGAAATGCTGGCTGTTTTCATGAAAGGGCAATTGACTTGGAGTTTTTCTCATTCTAATTGCCTGATTTGGCCAGCTAAATCAAAGTTTTTGTTACTCACGTACTTCAAGGTTTCTGTCTTCTGTTGTGCATCCTCTCAATTCAGAACTCATATTCCTAGGCAACACTTTCACTGTCCAATCTAAATTACTTGGGCTCAGCCTTGCTTGGAGTCAAATAATTACAGACTATTTCATTTACCCTGCAGAGAAAAGAAATTGACGCTGTTCTTGCTCTGCCCTCCTGGGGAATTAACCCATCGGACTCGTTATCTTCAGTCATAATTTTAGCCCCCCTCCCCTTCTGACAGTATTATGCCTTCCCTGTTTGCCAACTTTATCTTTGTTTTATCACAGTCATGTGTTAACTCCACCTCCCCCCCCAGAAAAAAATCTCTGTGTCAACATTGCATGACTTACCTGAGACCACGGATTTCTATGCCTGAAAAACTGAATCATTTCCTTCATAGAAGTCGTTTCTTTTCCACAGTTAACTCGAATATGATCAAATAAGGTGAAGCTAGTGTGTTTCAAGGCAATAAATTTTCTACCTCAGCCATTTCCATACTCTGTATAACCATATTCTGTATAATCATCCCAAGGTTTATTCCCGTATTGTCCCTTTTGTGGTAATATCTACATGTAGGTACATGTGAGAGCAGTCTCCATATTTTTTTTCCCTAATAGTGCCAAACCTGTGTTCAGCAGACAAGAAAAGTGTTTCCTGAATTCGCATGCTGCCTTTTCCTGTATTGTTACAGATAATCAAAATTGGCAAGGATGTTCGTGGTAATTTCCACACCATAGACCTAGATATGTGTGTGTGTGTGGTTTCTTTTTTAACCTTTAACTTGGTTTTGATGCTGTTGTTTGGGGTTTCTCGGTTGTCATTTCCCGCCACATTCTGGCGCATTCAAGGTTTTCCCATCATGTTGAACCATAGTGTAAACTTTGTAGGCAGTAATTTGAAAGTGCAGTTCCGGTGTAGGGTTGCTTCATTGTTGCTCTTGGCTCATGTTCTGATCCAGTCCAGCCAACATGTGGTAAAGACATCGATAGCAGTTGAAGAATTGTGATTCTAGCAGGAAGGTGTTGACTTGGACCTATTTATTTGGCCTGACCGGGGCCAAGTGAGGGTGCAATTTTCCTAGCAATGGGGGCTCCTTTGGTGGGATCTGTGCTTTGCTGGTTCACGAACGAACGGCTATGAGATGCATGTGTTGTAGTCCTATCGCTACCAACAAAATGAATGCTCCCCACCAACAAGGCTCTTTTGAACCAATGAGAGGGTGCTTCTACTAAGGTGGACACAGACGCACCCAATCTCATTTGCATCCTCACAGTTTCGACCACACCCATGTGTCGTTGACCACACCCTTATAGTCTCAGCCACACCATTGTGGTCTTTACCAAGCCATGTGGATTTTTTAGGTTCTACCCACATCTGTGTGCGTGTAGGTTCAACTTTAGACACATGGATTTTAACTGCACTTCCTTGCGGTGGGCTTGAACGCAGCCATTTTGAGCTTAAGTACCGGTAGGTTTCACCATTTTCTTGCAATCCCAATTACTTTGACCTTTGCACTCTACATCAGGTCCCATAATCGTTTGCAATCTGGCACTTTTTGAAGCCTAGCTGCATTTTCACAAACCACTATGAATAGACATTGTCCCATGGATGAGAGTGAGCCACACTACCACCCCCGCTGCTCATTTGCATAAATTGTTGTATGTTCCTTTATTGCTGTAAATAAAATCGGTTTGGAGAACTTTGAGTCAGGTTTTCATTTACATGTACAGTGTAGGGTCTCAGAGTGATATCCAAAAATTGAAGCATGCCCCTTTTTGATCCGCTAAGAATTTTCACACATGTTTGCTGTTGGAATTTTTTTATCTTCCACCTCTTATAGCTTAAAAAGAAAAGAAAACACAAACCACCAAGAACAGAAGAACCTTTTCGCTCAATCAGCAGTGGATTTCTACCATCACCTTGATCGACCATTTCCTGTTAAAGTGCACCAACTGAACCCATGAGGCAAAATTCTCTTAGCCGGGAAGAGGAAATGTCTCGTTGTGTAACAATTCTCGTGCCTCTCAGAGAGACTAATAGGGAAATGCGATTAACCAGCATATCGCTGCACAGCCTGGCTGACATGTGACCCACTCTCCAAGGATAGAGAAATTAGCCGCTTATTGAATTTGTCAACAGCACGGTAAAATGAGCATGTGCTGAAATCAACGGATGGGAACTGGTTAAACAAATATAGGCCAACCCACAAAAAAAAAAGAACCTGCGTAACAACTATACGTGTCAATTCCCACCAGTCATGCTTTCCTTTTATAGCAGCCATTTTTACAAATTATTGAGGGATAGCATCTATTGTATTGGATTAAATGTGATATGTTCTTACAATGCCCTTTTTGATTCAGTTGATACTGAAGAAAGCTCTACATTACATTGTCAGTTTTCATATGTACCATAATTTTTGCAGGGGAAGTAAAGAACAAATTGGTGATGTTGACATATCCATTTATTCATGCATAAGGTACATTGATTATTCAGATTTGTTACCAAAAGATAATCACTGTTTGTGAATATTGCAAGATATACATGTATATCTTTATAAACTAGTAGATGCAGTTTCTTCCCAGAAGACATCACAAAATAGCTGGATATTCATACCATACGTGTAGGAATCAGATTTCAAATTGACAAACTGACAAGGATGTGTGCTACAGTTGCTATCTGTGTTTCCACCTCTTCTGAAAAGATGAAATAAAGGGTTGGCGGTAATGCATTGCGTGGGGTGGGAGAGCAGGGGGGAAAAAACAATTCCAAGAGGAAATGAAAACCATTAACTGAGCGGCTTTGGTCAGTGACGGAGAAATCAGCGCCGACAGGAAGTAGATTCCTTTGTGATTGCAGGCCGAGCTCGGCAATCTCATTTCCCCGTCTTTGTCCGCACAGCCCAGGCTTGGGGCCTCTTCATTTTTTTTTTTTTTTTTTTTAAGAGAGGGAGAGAGAAATGACAGCTTGAGACAACAGACAGCAGGATCTTAGCCGGGCGTCATCTCTCTGCTGCAGCCTGCCGTTGCCGCTGCCTGACATACCCGTGTTGTTTAAACCCATCGGAGAGAGGGAGAGAGTGTAATGGCCCTGTTTGCTAGTGGCCTCAGACAGGAATCTGAGGACCGCACAGCGAAGCCGGGGTAGTTAATCAAAATGGATCTCAGCCAATACTAGTCTTCGTGACATTTGCTTGATCAGAGTGCCCAAGGCATTTGATACATCACTAGAATTTGTACCGGCGTATTAAAAGATGCTGAGGGTGACAAGACGGGGGTGTGATGATCGATGCCTCCCTCCCCCCAGTCTTTTTAAATCAGAAAAAAAAAGGGTACCACAGAAGCGTGTTTATCATTTATGGGAATGAATCTTTCCAGGGAAGAAAGCCAGGAAACAATAGAGACATCTCATTGGTATTTTTGTCTGTATGGTTGGAATCTGAATTTAAAAGAATTTATTTACAGGCATTTTAGGGGCCAGTATCTCATGTAAATGCTAAATAAACCTGTTGAAAACAAAATAAATGAACTGCCTGCCATAATTAATTGGTGTAGAGCTAATTGATTCACAAGTCATGTTTTTCATTAAATGCTTCACAGTTTAATAGTGTCAAAGAAGTTACCATAGCAACAATAATGCCTTTAGTGTTTATATTTCTGAAACCAAAGGAAATGTTTATCTTTCTGTTCTGAGCTGGAAGAAATACTACATTGACCAATTTTTCAATAATTTGGTGAATGTGAGAAGTTTGTTCAATTTTGCAAATGATTGAAATGTAAACATAATTACAGCATTGGAAAAGTATTGTGACCCTTAAAGGGCAGTTTATGGTCAAAAATTCTCTGTGACGTCAACTTCGTTGAGGACACATCAGGAAAATCATAAATCAGCAACATTTTAATAAATATCTTTAAAATGCAGATGGAATTGTCCAAATGAAAAATGAATACGTAACTGAAATGGGATGATGTTTGTTATGTAAAGTTCGTGATTTTTCTGGGTTTGGGGTTGTCCAACGCACTACAGTTCTCGCTCTGAGAGGTCTTATCATATTGAGTGCCAAAATAACTAGGTCACACGCACAGTGTGCATGTAAAAGGCATTAGCGCAAGAACCAGCATGTTAACCAGCACACGCCATTCCTCTGCACAGCATTTCCTGACTTCACTACTCTGTAGATTTTGCTTCGTTTTTCACTGTGTTCACTTTTCAATTTCTCACTGTGTTGGGAGACAAACAGTGCTTTGTAAGCTACGAAAAGCCCTGAAATCTCATAGCGCTTTATTGTTGTCATTATTGTCGCAACCCCCTGGTTGATGTTCCTTGGATTTTTGTCATCCATGAATCTCATTTCCAAAACTTTTTCCTATAGTTACTTGTCACCTCCTTTCATGGCCACATATAAAAAACCAAAGACAGTACTCCACTGAAAACAAAGATGTGTGCCCGTGTTGACCAATAGTTTCCACTGGGTCATTGTTAGTAGTTGCAGCCAACCTTTACTCTTTTTCCCAGACAGGTCGAGCCTCATGAACAAGGAAGGAAAAGATCTCTGTTTGTTTAAACTTGACTTTAACGGAAACAAAAGCTCTATTTTGAAGAGCTTTTCATAAAACAACAGGCGGGCGAAATTGTTTGAGGAAACATTTGGCATTGGCATCAGTGTTATGCATTGTTTGCTTGTAGACGTGGATTACAGACTGGTTACACGCCGCGATTGTCTGACCATGTAGTGGGTGGAGCTAGGGGAGGAACTGGAGGGCAGGACTACGTCTGTGTGCTGTGTACAGTGCCACCCATTCTTGGTTTTGCTGTTTCTTGATCGTTTCTTTTTGAAGACCTGGAAACAGGATCATTAAATGCACGTGTACATGTAATTGTTGTCCGACAGTGATTGGAGGAAACATTCCAACATGCTTTTAAACATTTGTTTTTCTTCTCAGATTTTCCCACACATGGAGTTCATTCCCCTGCAAGTTAGAGATGAATTTCTTTATAATTTAAACAGTTTTAAACCAAGGCTTAAGCCGGTTTTAGACAGGTTAGTCGTTGTATATTAAGTGGTCTGTGGATGGACCATGAGATGAACCTCCTGCTGGAGCTGGGGTTCCTTGGCTTGCTTCTCTGCATGGGTTTGGGTTATTTGTGGTTGGGTTTATATCTTTTAACTTCCTGCTTGTATTGTTCATGTGGGCTATTCATGGACAGGTATTTACTCGCAACCATTGTCAATGCGTTTTCTAGCTTATTTTAAAAATAGAGTGTTTCTAATCTTTTCTTGTTATGTCTTTTTCTTTTCGTTTGTTTTTTGCAAAGTTGTACTGATGCAGTCGGAGAGCCTCTTGATAAGCCTTAATTCAGCTTTTTTAGGCAATCCTGCGGGCTTGCATATGGTAGTACAAGTTTGTCAATTTGGGTCTGTGTTTTGTGTTATTCAACAGGTTTTGTTTAAGTTTCTTGTTTTTGCTGTATCTAGTTATTTGACTTTTTGCGTGTAATCTCCATTGTTGGTTTTTATCTTGCAATTTGTAATTTTGATAAATGTATCGTCATTTGTCCATGTTTCTTGCCCAAAAAATATCTAAATAAATGAATAAAAATTCAAAAACCAAGAAATGCATCTAGTGATGTACATGTAAATATTAAACCTCCTATCCATTGTCCAGACACATCTATGTGCAGTATGCCAAACATTGTGATCAATATTTGGTGGGTTTTCCCCTGCAAAAATAAGCCATGCAGAATCTCCCTTTGAAAATTGAAGCCAGCTGTATTTCTTTGCGTGAGTGATTTATGTCCCTGAATGCACATGAGACTGTCACTTGAACTGAGATGGTATTAGTCCGAAAAAGTCCAAGATGACTACCAGATACCCTGCCACATATACAGTGCTGATCTCTACCAAGAGCTCTATGCACTGCAGTACATAGAGGGCTTTTTTTTTTGGCCAAGCAGCAAAATCGTGTGCAGACCTGGCTAAGTCCACACAAGGTCCGCACATCTTGCAATATGTGGACCTGTCTTGTTCTCAGGTCCACCGAGAGATGGAAAGGTTGGCACATGCATGCTTGCAAATTGTTACCAAAGACATCCTTCTGTGTAATCCCACAGCAACTACAACGAGACACCACATCACCCTTCACTGGTCCCTTGACCTATCACGCCTCTTCATGTATATATGATGAAGTTGTTTTTCCAAATGCATTCAAATTTAGGCATTGTAAGAATGATCCAGGGATCACAAACATCCTCAGTGCGAAGAGAAAGGATGGCAGACTCCTGGGGCCAATTTCATAGAGCTGCTCAAGCGCAAAATGTGCTTAAGTGCAAAAAAAACCTTGCTTAAAAAATAAAGGTTACCAGCTCAAAATCTAAGTGATTGTCATGCCAACCAAAAGACAGGTGAAGACCATTCCAAAACAATATACATCACATGGAGTTTTGGCTGGTAACCTGATTTATCAAGCAAGGTTTTTCATGCTTAAAGCAAATTTTGTGCTGAAGCAGCTCTATGAAATTGGCTCCTGATCTTCACGCTCTCATTGCTCTGTGGTGTTCAGACCACAGTACCAGGCTATCAGCCCTGTCAGATTGGTCTTACACTATACCCTTTATCACACTCTTCGTTACAAAAAAGCCAACCCTTGTACATGTACGTGCAATCCAAACCCAAATCAGATTGGAGGATAGAGGAGGCTTTGTGGTGTCTTATTCTTCTACTCTCCCTTCTTTGAGTGGATAATAGGGCTGATGAGATCACATATCTTCTCAATTATATGATCACCAAGCCTGTTGACAAGTTAAAACAACCGCTTAAGGTGGGCCTTTTTTACAGATTCTTTTATTTACTAATATACCCGAATCCACTTTGTTAAAAAGGCAAAATAAAATCATCTCGGTAGAATTCTCTCTTAAAGTTTGCTCTTCAGGTCAGCATCTGTGCCCGTAGTTAATATGCTGTGTCAAAAAATCCAAAATTAAAGACCAACTCCAACGGTTTTAAAAGTTTTGAAAATAAACTGTTGTTGTGTTAAGTGTGTAATTAATCATATATTCATTACCAAATCATGTCTGTATTGCTTCTGTATTTTTTTATTTTTGCCGAAACTTCTGAACGGTGTATTCGTGTTTTATGAAAAATTTCCACAATCTGACCGCTGGCAGCGCTGTCGAGAAACAAAATTTGTATTATGTAATACTGGAGAAAACATTGAAACTGGTATCCATGGCACGACTGGTTCCGCTACAAACACACATGTACATGAACATGGAGTTACATGTGCGGGCACCACGTAGGGGGGATCGATCTGTGGGCTGGGTCTACTGTGCCACATTATCTCTTTTTCATCAAGTTTATGCTTCTTTCTTCCTGATTTATAATAATGTGCATCATTGGATGTACTAGAAATTCCGCAAAAGAAAAAAAAAGGGATTGAAATTCTTGGAATTTCCAAAGAATGGGAGTGTTCTTCAAGTTCGTGCTGTCGTCCGCAGCTATGCATGCCTAAAGCGCACACACTGTGGTATTTCCTCTCCTCGGTAATACACCATAAAAATCAATATTCATTAGATGCTAATGAGTCGTGACGACACATCCATTTTTACAAAACCGAACTGGACTCGCAGGAAAAATGAGTACAAAAACTGCATTTTTATTAACACAAAAACGTGTATTGCAAGGGCGATATTGATTTGTCCCTCTTTTATAAGATTTGGCTCTTCTGAACAGGATTCAATATGAGAAAAGTTAGCATCGTTGGAGTTGGTCTTGAATTAATTACTCTTGAAAACCTACAGGTTTGTTGTGAGTTGAGGACTCAGGCACACTTATTTTAAGTACACACGCAGTATGCATCTCATGGTAGAATCCACACATGCAGTGTACATGTATTCTAAATAATTTGAAGTGCAGTATTCTTAACAGCTGGACAAAATTGTATCAAACTAATACAGGATTTGTACAAACAAAATCAAAATCATCAGTCGCTGCTTATTGACTTACCGGTAAGTGACCCAATACTGGTCACATCCAAAGCGTCAAATTAAAAGGGCTTCATGTTTCAATCCCAGCAGAATCTTTCTTAAAGGTTAAAAAACAAAGCCAAGGAAGATTTCCAAAGTCTGAATGATCGTGGTGAATGCAAATTTCCTGAGGGCTTGAAAATTTGAAACTCCCGTTCTTTTTTCCCTCTTTCGAAATTCAAAAAAAAGATAGACAGTGACAGGCTGGCATTATCAGTGTTCAGTATATGGCCACAACCGCCCCCCTTATCTTTTCAACTCCCTGCAGTCCCTCTGAGCCTTTCTTTTTTTGTGTGTGCTTGTCATTCCTGGAGGAAGCTGATCTGTCCAATATGCGCATTGCCGCCATAAACACTTGAGGCAGGTTTTTTCCCGGATAATCCCCCTCTTGCAAGAGTAGTCCTTTGTCTGGTTATGGTCCTCTGTCTGGCTGTTCTAAAGACCCTTGTAGAATTTCAAGTAGAATTAGTTTAAATGGATAATCCTGGGGACGGATTATCTCAGTTATTCACCCCCCAATGAGTATAATCTGCCAGGTCATTAGGGGATGCAGGGTAGGCAAGATTGATTCATGAGTTTAGAGTTGCTAGATTAATGATGATACCAAGAAGTTGGAATGGTATATACCCCAGCTCCCATTCCCCAACCCTGTTCTTGAGGGGTGCTTACAGCTATTTGTGACTCCGAGGTTGCTTTGTTGAGTTCATGATTTTTTTTTTCCAGAGAGGATGGAATGGGAGTACCCAGATCTGGGGAGATTGTTATTTTCCTCTTTTTTGAATCTGCTCTTTCAAGGACAGACATTTATTTTTCTTATCAACTCCTTTTAAAAACATGTTGGGTCACAAATAGGTGATCAGGTATTTTGATTAAATTTTTCTTGGTTGACTTTACCCTGTTGCATTCACTGCATCTTGGATTTACTAAATTTATGATCAATTAATCTCGTGTTATCCGCCCCAAGTTGAAGTGCGCCCTCACTGGCAAAGAAGAGACAGTCTGGTAGGAAGGTTTTCAGTGGGGAACGCCTGCACACCCTCAGCACACATCCAAAGTCCATACATGCAAAACGAAAAAGACCTGAAACATAATGACGTAATGCAATGTTTACCACAGTGCATTGTGGGTGAAAGTGGGAATGGAATCATAAGTCATGTGAGCCTTTGCGCAGCATTGGACGGAGCAAACTTGTGGTCTCGTGGAAGCTTGAAAAATGCAGCCCTGGTGTTTGTCATGTGTTTGATACACACAATGGCACACAACAGTTAACACAAACCATTTTGGAAAATATAGGCGAACTCAATCTCAGGATATTTCCAGGAATTTTCCATGCACAAGAGTGGGCGTTATGTGTTGTGACTGTCATGCCCACCTTTCACCCATGATGCTCCACGGTAAACATTGCATTAAGTCATTATGTTTTAGGTCTATTGGTAACCATGCTCAGCGTGTCTTGCGTCAGACGTGCATGAAGCTGTACACACACGCATTGATTACCAACCAAAGGATGGCCGTTGCTTTGTAAAAACATACCCTCTCTTATTCCCGCTCAGAGCAGATTGGTGGATGAATCCCATCTTAAAGAAGCAGGATCAGTATCCCACAGGACACACACTTATTCTGGTTCATTTTATGTTGTCGTCAGAGTAAAACCACGTTCTGATATTCTAGGTTTCATAAGGGCCTACAACCTGCGTTCCATAACCATGCAGGAGACACTATATACTTGTGCAGTGGATGTTGGGAGCATTGCCACAATTTCTTTGTATAATTAGAAGGAAAGTAACAATAGAATGGGAGAATTTGGGAAGCATACGTAGGGATGGGAAAGGTTTGATTGGACATTATCAACCCCAAGTGGTGCTGCTCGTGGCAGAAACATTTTGCCTGCAAGTCTACACTTCACCTCCATCATCTTTCACTGCTGACTTCAAATTAAATTTTAAAAGAAACTTGGCTTGGCTACGTAAATTTGTTTCCTTTTGAAACAGACCTCCTCCCATCCCTCTTTTTTTTGGGGGGGACAGGGTGTCTTTATGCAGTTTGATAATTACTGGGGTTAACATTGCCATCTTTATTCCCACATGGGCAAAAATAATTTTTCTTTTGGGAGGATATCTCACCATGTCCTGTGGATTCATCACTAAGGCAACCACCCCGACCTGCACTTTAATGGCCCAGTGGTTTTGTAGCTGTTATCCATTGCTGACCATCAGCTGTTAACTGTCTTTACATCAGATCAATTCTGATAGGAAATTGCGCCTGTGAATGCATTTGTTGTCACCACAAAACAAAAATCAGCTATCGGCCGTCGTCAAAACCACCCAATAACAAGGCAAACCAAACAGTGTACAAATCGGGGCTGTTCTGTGTAGATCTTGGGGCATGGAAGTAACAGATACATCCATGGGGGGGAAGGGAGGAATACACTCATTGATCAGACTGTAACCACGTGTTAAGCTGTATTGATTACTGGGCTGTGCTAGCATTGATCTCCCAATACCCCGTTTGTGGTGGTCTATTGATCGTGGAATTTGGTTCCCAGATCAATGAGGACATTCACATGGCATGAGGCAGTGGGATGTTTCTGGGAATTGGACGAGGGTTGGACTTGTGTCTGAAGGTGTCATAGATCTGCAGTATATAAGAATCATGTACCGCTGCAGCTTGACTGGAAAAAAAAGGAGGTGTTATAAAAATGTGTTTACTTAATTATGATAATGTGCAGTCAGATGTTTATTTAGGCATGTGAGCAAAAGGGAGCTGAGATTTATTGGTGTATGAAAAAAACATGTTTGAATGCCATGTTTGTGACCCAAATGTTCTAAATGGGATCTGGAAGTCAC